CGTGGCAACAGCCGTTGAACCGGGTGTGCCCTCGAAGACAACCACTCGATCAGCCAGATACGTGGCCATTATGAAGTCGTGCTCAACAACGAAGGCGGTCTTCTTAGCGTGCATGATGTACCGTTTGATGACTTTGGCTGCATGTAGACGCTGCTCAGAGTCCAGATAGGCAGACGGCTCATCAATGAGATAGACATCTGCCGGCTGACCAAGACACAGGGTAATAGCCAGTCGTTGCAACTCACCTCCGGACAGATTCATGACCTAGGAAAGCCGAAAAGGCGGTGTTGTTGGCATAAACGACGGTATAAAGTCGGGAAAACGGAAAGGATAGATCAACCAAGCTCCAAAAATGCCAGTCAAGTCTCTTTTGGCCGTCTATCTCCAACTAATTATGACGTCTCACAAGAGCTTTAATTTGTTCATCTGCCTACACTACTAGTGTGGCTGCTGACAGAGCTCGAGAGTCAGACCCAAGGCAGAACGGGACGGGTGAGTTCCCTTAGCGACCGGTGAACGTTCATCAAGAAATTTCAATATTCCCGAGCTAAACCGGCAAGAGAACGATCACGTGGCTCAATGGTTAGCGCATTGGAATTCCAATAAACAGGCCGCGGGTTCGAGGCCTGGGTGGTACCTTACCCGGGACTGGGTCACTCACTAATGACGGCTAATGAGCTAGAAACGACCATTTTGGTCCCCCTTGTCTTTGTCTCCAGTCGTTATATGCTTACACTACTAGCCGCTGCGACTCTGTTGCCGGGGCTCGAGAGTGAATCCCAAGGCAAAATGCGACTAGTGAACTGCGTTAGCGATAACTGAGCGTTCATCCGAAAAACTTTAATCGAAAAAAGGAAGAAAATGGGGAAACGCGGGCAAATAAAAGTGAGTACCTGTTGGTCATACAGCCGCTCCATTTGTAGTGGTTTAAGCACGTCTGTAGAGAATTGTGGATGAGTGAATGAGTCGCGCATTTTTTCGTACAACAGCATCTGTACTGTTTTCTCCGATTTGGGGCTAATCTTTTGCGGTTTGTAGGAGACATTCAGTGGAGGACACTTAAAACCATCGTCCGGCTTCAGGTTTCCGGCCAGCATTCGGATGAAGGTTGTCTTACCGGTGCCGTTCTCGCCCAGCATAACAATAATTTCAGAGTCCGTGAAAGTGCCAGGTTCAATATTGAGCTTGAATG